CGCCCACGTCCACATAGACGACACGCCCCTCCACGACGCCCACCACAAGGCCCCGCCCCTCCACGACGCCCACCTCAAGGCCCCGCCCCTAAACGACACCCATCTCAAGGCCACGCCCCTCCACGATGCCCCCATGAAGGCCACTCACCTCAAAGCCACGCCCCTTTTCGAAGCCCAGGCGTACCCTAGAAGCGCCAGCCCGAAAATCGAGCGCAGAGAAGACCTCGTAGTCCACGGGCATCCAGGTAAGGGAGGAGGAAAAGAGGAGGAGGAGGAGGAGGAGGAGGAGAAGGAGGAGAGGAGGAGGAGGAGGAGGAGGAGGAGAGGAGGAGGAGGAGGAGGAGGAGGAGGAGGAGGAGGGAGGGAGGAGGAGGAAGAGGAGGAGGAGGAGGAGGGAGAGGGACGAGGGTGGGAGGAGGAGGAAGAGGAGGAGCAAAAGGAAGAAGATGATGATGATGAGGAGGAAGAATAAGAAGAAGCAGAGGAAGAAGAGGAGGAGGAGGAGAAAGAGGGAGAAGAGGAGGAGAATGATGATGATGATGAGGAAGGTTAAGAGAAGAGGGAGGAATAATAAGAGAAGGAGAAAGAAGAAGAAGGAAGAAGAGAAAGTGGAGGATGAGAAGGAAGAGGAGGATGAGGGGAGGTAGGAGGAGGAGGAATCTCTCTCTCTCTCTCTTCTCTCTCTTTCTCTCCCATGCTCTCTGTCTCACTTTCTTTCACTTTCTGTCTCTACCTTTGTTTCTTTACGTTTGTGTCTATACGTAAGAGACAAATAAATGCTATACATTTTTGCATATATATAGATGTATATATAATATTTGTGTAAGAGCTCTTACCTCTATCCAAGCATCTACCTAACACAAACACACACACACGACCACAAACAAACAAACACATACAGTCACCCTCTCTCTCTCTCTCTATATATATGGGTCCACATATAACTCTACGGACTCTGCCCTCCAGGTTTGGTCGCGGCGCCGGGAGAATGGGTACGCGCCCTTGGAAACATGGAAATGTTCATGCAGATCGGAGGTGAATACGGGTCTCTGAACACCGTGCAGGCGCTGTGGCTGTCCTCCACGGCGCCCATCAGGCCTGAGGACGTTAGGGACGCCGTGAATGCTGTGGCCGAGTGAGTATACTGTGTGATGAGGAGACCTTTTTAAGGGAACGTAGAGAAAGGATGTCCAATGGCCGTACGTAGATGTAAAGGGTCTGGTTCCTAATATGGTTAGATGCCATTCGTAAATTATCCGATTCCTTCTGATTTAGAGAGGACCTACGAGTGTACTTTAATTAGAGTGGTAGCTGGTGCGCTTCGTGTGACCTTGTGACCTTAACTCATTTATTAGTTGGTTAAGCTTTCCCTGAACCCCTTGACCTTGCTTCTCCACGTGTTGCCTGGGCCGTTTCTCGTTCTTGTTGTCTTTCTCCTCTTTACATATTATGCTTGTTCAAATTTTCCCAAAGTATCCGTTTCAGTTTCCTGTCTCACGAAAAGCCTCGTTTGACTCGAAATGTCAGGTTTCCCGTTTCATTTCATACACACACGCACATATGTGCAAATATGTGTGTGTGTGTGTGTGTGTGTGTGTATATATATATATATATATATATATATATATATATATATCACAAATATATCTCACAAATATAGAGGTAGACATATAACCATATATAAATATGTAAGTACATACATATATATACATATATGTATATATATATATATATATATATATATATATATATATATATATATGTGTGTGTGTGTGTGTGTGTGTGTGTGTGTGTGTGTGTGTGTGTGTGTGTGTGTGTGTGTGTGTGTGTGTGTATGTATATATGTATGTATGTATTCTATTCTATGTTGGATTAAGATTTTTGTTAAACGTCCACAGGTTATATATGTCTGTATAGTCATTTGCAGTATTTATACATGTTGTATATATGTATGTAGATATATGTATGTACATATATTCGCTTATAATATCCTGCATGCATCAAATACCCACTGAGCATCTTAGTATGAAAAAGCTAAATCCTTTCACTCTTAAAACGTAAGCGACGTGACTGAAGCCGCATTCGCTTGCTTTCAGGAAGAACCACGTGCTGCAGCTGTGCGTGGTCTGGCGCGGGGTGCGGGCCTGGTTCCGGCGCATGGAGCAGCTGGTCGTGGACTTCGCCGTCGAGAGCCAGGACGCCATGAGCGCTTTCTACGCGCTCCTGCAGATGAAGTATAACTTCGCACAGGGCCCTCTGTGGCGAGCTAGGCTGGTTCCGTCGCTGCAGAAGTCTGCGGACGGGCGCCACGAGGCGGTGCTCATCGTCAGCGCGCACCACTGCATCACCGACGGCCTCACCAACATGCTCATCTGCCGCGACATCATGCACGTGCTGAACGCGACCATGACGGGTGCCATGTACGACGTCCCGACGCGCACCGTAATCCCGGCCATCTCCGACTCGCTGCACGCCCGCACCGACTGGTGGTACTCGCTGA